GGTGACAATTTCATTGTTAGTATAATTTTCAAGTCTTTGTACTGCTGTTATGGGTTTATGGGTTACTTTACTTATCTGGTAACACTTGGGCTCCCACTTGTATCTATCTGTGCTACCTGAGGAAGTAAGAAACCATTTTCTAGGTCAAGCCATGGGATGTCTAGTGAAGGGGAAAGGATACGTGGGGATTTCCTCATCAGGCCCTGATTCTCTGATGTCTCTGGGGTGGAGAGGAGAGTCTTAAACCTATGGCTTCCTGCATTGGACTTCTTAGAAAAGCTGCGTCCCTCTTGTTGTTTCTGCCTGCCTGTTCTTATATCTTGAGGTGGGGAAGGAGACCCTCAGGCTTTTGGGGACAGAGCTTACATTGGGTTGCTTGCTGTCATTAGTTCTCTCTTGCTGATTGCTCCTACCTTCCTTGGTTTTTCCAGATGGGAAAAGGGGAGTCTCAGGCTGAGCTCAACTTGTGATCCTCCTGCCTCCACCTCCCAGAGTGCTGTGATTATGTCTTAAGTGTGAGCCACCACTCCCCATTATTCTTTCTTTACATTGGATTGTCTTTCTTTTGTTCTCTGTCCATTCACCACATCAGGACTTTTCTACCTAAATTCTCACTGACATCAATTCTAGAACGCCATTCTCAAGCTGTATTGTTATAATAGCTTCTTAACTTGCCTTATTATATCTCATTTTATCTTTTTTCTCTATTCAAGCTGCATTATTCTATCCCAGCTGCCAGATCAAAATCTTTTTAAAGTCTCTATATTTAACTATAATATACTCACAGAAAAGTGTACAAATTACCCATGCTCAGCTTGATGGATTTTCACAAACTGAGCATACTTTTGTAACTAGAGCTGGCAGATTAATCTTTTTAAAATATCATATTCATGACCTTGGTGTTCCTCCTTAAAAGTCAATTAATTCAAGGAATTTGAGCTTATTAGTTTCCTGAGCAGAGGAATAGCAGGAGATTAATTGTGTGCTATCTCCCACTGCTTGCTACATACAGCTTGGTTTTAGAGACATTGCTTTTACTGCACCTTATATTCATTTTGTCACCCCATGCTGATTCTACTTCCTGAAATTTATTTCCCTTTTTGCCTTTTGTAATCTAATGTTTTTCCTTTTTCTTTTTTTTTTTGGTACCTGGGATAGAACTTGGGACCTTGCACTTGCAAGGCAGGTGGCCGAACCACTGAGCTAAATCCCTGGCTTGCTTTTTGTAATCTAAATCATAGTCATTTTTCCAATCCTAGTTTGTATCTTGCCATTTCTAGGAAACCTGATAATTCCAGCTTGCATTTATTTTGTCTATTTCTTTTCAAATATTCTTTACTCTTTTAAATAGGTAATACCAATATATTTACTTAGAACAAAAAATCAGATGTACAAAAGAATAAACAGTAACATATCTCCTGTCCACTCTTGAGCTCAGCTATATGTGTTCTTCTAGAAACATTTTTTGTACTTAATGCAAAATGAATATTCCTCTTTCTCCTTTTTTATACAAAGTTAGCAAACTAAGTTCTGAATCTTTCTTTTTTAAATTAATAGTTCTTAATTATAGTTCCATATCAATATATGAAAATTTCCTTAATATTTGTTAGAACTGAATGATATTCCTCTTAATGAACATACCATGAACATATCTACCACATATACTTGTGAATGTTGGATACTGAACAAATTCACACAGAATGATTTCAGTGGCACCTGTTGAATTATTCAGCTCTAACCAAATGCAGCAGCCTTGATGGTAATTTACTTAATAAGTTCCTATTGGTAGAGATTTCAATTTTTTTTTTTGGTATTGCTAACACTATTGCAATGAATAGTCTTACATATAAATATGTTAACATCTACAGGATAATTATGTATATAACCTGTCATTCTTTTATTTCCTAAAGTATGTACTATATCTGAGAGTCTGGTAACTAGACATAGTCTTTATTATAGAGTTGTTATAGAAGTTTTATTGTTTTACATGAAGAGAGGTACTGTATATTAAATTATTTTATATGGACCCTGACCTGGAATAGTATATAAGTAGGCTCTTGGGACAGGCTGGAGTGTTTCCCAGACTTTGCAAGATTCTGTTTTCCTTTTATCCTTCTGAGCTCTTCACAAACCTTTTGAAGTTCCTGATAGTGGAAGAAAAAATTAGCAAGATGTATTCAGAAGCAGAGGTGTTATTTATGCCAAATTACAGAATAAAATGATCTTCAGTCTCAGATGAATTTTTAAAAATGTAAAACATGTTACTTTTCTTTGCCCTTAAAAAAACGTTTCTTTTTCTTTCTTTGAAAACGTGGGAGGAGATTGGGTATATTTCGAGCAATACTTAATTGAGTCGCAGATTAAATAACAAAAATGTTCGTCGAAAATTTTTGTGCCACATAAAAGATGCAGTATGTCAAAGGAATTTTTTTGTGTGTATGCGGTGCTGGAGCATTGCACATACTAGACAGGTGCTCTGCCACTGAGCTGAACCCTCGGCCTCAGAGTTCTTTCTTTCTTTTTTGGTACCAGGGATCGAACTCAAGTTCTTGCGCTTGCCAGGCAGGCATGGTGCCATTGAGCTAAATCCCTGACCTCAAATTTCTTTTTTAAAGGTACTGCATACAAAGTAAAAGCACTGGAATCATCCCTTTTATAGTAAAGTAAATAAGTTAATTACTTTGTGTGTGTGTGTGTGTGTGTGTATGTGTGTTTTTATGTCACTTGAGAATATACTCAGAAGTAGAGTGTCTAGGTTGCACGATAACTTGTTTAATCTTGTGAGGAACTGCCATGCTATATCCCATAGTGGCTGTAACATTTTACATTTGTACTGGCAGGGTGTGAGCTTCAATCTCAGTATAGTCTCTTAAACATTTGTTATTATGTCTTTTTTGATTATAACTAGTGTGAATTACTATCTGATTGTACTTTTGCATTTTCCTAATGGCTAACAGTATAGAACATCTTTTCATGTGATTTAATGGACATTTGTGTTTCTTTGGAGGAATGTCTGTTCAAATCCTTTGCTCATTTTAATTAGTTTATCTTTTTTTTGGTACTGGGGATCAAACTTGGGATCTTCCGCATGCGAGGCAGGCAGTCGAACCACTGAGCTAAAGCCCCGGCAAACACTCTTTTTTTGTTTTTGTTTTTGGTACCGGGGATCGAACGGCAGAACCACTGAGCTAAATCCCTGGCCCTAGTTTATCTTTTTATTATGGAAGTATAAGAATTGGCCAAGCATAGTGGTTCGTTCTGTACCTTAACACACTGGAAGGCTGAGTTAGGAGACTTGCAAGTTCAGCACAGCCTGAGCAACTTAGTGACTTAATGAGACCCTGTCTCAGAAAAAGAAAAGAGAATTATAAAAATTCCTTATATATTCCTGATAAAAGTCCCTTATCAAATATGTGATTTTTAAATACTTTCTCCCATTCTATGTGTTGTCCTTTCACATTTTTTTTTCCAGTATCGAACTCAGGAGCTTGCACTTTCTAGGCAGGCACAGCACCACTGAGCTAAATCCCTGGCCTCTCCTTTCACATTTTTGATGATGTCATTTGAAACACAGAAATTTTAAATTTTGATGAGATTAAGTTTATGTATATTTGTTGCGTGCGTTTTTGTTATTGTATTTAAGAAACCATTGCCTAACCCAAGGTTACAAACCACACTCTTACGTATTCTTCTGTGTGCCTTAGAGTTTTATTTCTGATGTTTTTGTATGGTCTAAAGAAGGTATTCTGCTTTCTTTGTTTCTGTATGTGGAAATTCAGTTGTCTCAGGGGTATGTAGCTGTGGAACCTTCCTTTTTCCATTGAGAAGATGTGGCACTTTTGTAAAAAATCATTTTACCATAATTGTAAAGATTTATCAGGACCCTCTGTTGTACTGTGTTGATCCCTGTGTTTTTCTATATGCCTCTGTCATACTGTCTTGATTGCTGTAGCTTTGAGTCCTGCAACCTTGTTTTTTTTTTTTTTTCAAGACTTTTTTTGGGGTGGATGGTACTGGGGATTGAAGGCAGGGGCTTTGGACTGAGCTACATCTCAACCTTTTTTTAATTTTGTATCTTGAGACAAAGTTTTGTGCTTGGGTTGGACTAGAACTTGTGATTCACCTGCCTCTGTTTCCCAAAGTGCTGGGATTACAGGTATGCACCACTGCTCCCAGCTTCAAAACTGTTTGTCATTATTCTGGCTCCCTTGCCTTGTCATATATATTTTAGAATTCATTTGTTAATTTCTGCAAAAAAGCTAACTGAGATAGTAATATGTTTTTGTTTTGTTTTTTTAGTACCTGGGATCGAACTTTGGGACCTTGCGCTTGCGAGGCAGGCGGCAGAGCCACTGAACTAAATCCCTGGCCTGAGATAGTAATATGGATTATGTTAAATCTGTAGATCAAATTGAGGGGTATTGCTGTCTTAATGACATTAACTTTTTTTGCTTTTAAACATGAGTCTTTCAATTTATTTATATTCAAAAAATTCTACAGTTTTATAAATAATACAAGTTTTGCATTTTCTTCAGTTTATTCCTCACTGTTTTGTTCTTTTTTGATGCTATTATAAGTAGAATTTGTTTTTTAATTTCACTTTTGGGTTGATGCAAGTGTTTACAAATATAATTCGATTTTGTATATTCACTTTAAATTTTGTAATATTACTAATTCCATTCATTCTAGTAATTTTTTATTGCATTCCTTAGGATTTTTTGTATACAAGATGTTGTTTTCTATAAATATAAATGGCTTTATTTCTTCCTTTTTCATCCAAATATCTTTTTATTTATGTTATTGTAATGTCTTGAACATCTAATATACATTGAATAGAAGTCAACAAAAGAGTTGACATCTTTGTCGTAGTTTTTATCTTTGAGAAACTATTTGGTAGTAGTGGTTATTTTTTTACCCTCAAAAGAAGGGTGCATGACTTTGCTTTGAAGATTGATTTCTTCCTGTTGATGAAAGACTTCTTCTTGTGTTTGTGTACACAGATATGTGCTGATTAGAAGGCTCACCTGTGCAGTGTGGAGGATAAGCAGTGCCTTACAAAGATGGGGTTTGGGAGTGACCTGAAGAATTCGCATGAAGCTGTGTTAAAATTGCAAGACTGGGAATTACGATTACTGGAAACAGTGAAAAAATTTATGGCTCTGAGAATAAAAAGTGATAAAGAATATGCATCTACTTTACAGAACCTTTGTAATCAAGTTGATAAAGAAAGTCCTCTCCAAATGAATTATGTCAGCAATGTATCCAAGGTAAGAAGTGTTAATTTCATAATTTCTTTTGTATAACATCATAACTGTCCTTAAAATAGATCATACTAGGCTGGGGATTTAGCTCAGTGGTTCCGCTGCCTGCCTCACAAGCGCGAGGTCCTAAGTTCGATCCCCAAAAAAACTTAAAAAAAAAAAGATCATACTATTGAATGAGCATACCTGAGTGAGTTTATAGTGTGCTTAGTTTTCTGAGTAGTTTCAGCTGCATCCTTGACATTATTCTCTGCTTATTTTATTTTCAGTTCAGAATACATTTTAATTTCCCTTTTGATTTCTTTGTATGTTCTTTCAGAGTCTCGTATTTAATTTATAAATATTATTTCTAGATACCTGTTGTTGATTGTGAATATATTTCCACTATTTTCCGAGAAACTATTTTGTATAATAAATGCTTTTAAATTTATGAATATTTCCTCTATAGCCCAGAATATGGTTTGTCTTGGTAAATCTTTCATGTGTACTTGATAAGTATATGTATTCTTTGTTGTTGCTTGGAATATTCTGTAGATGACAATAAAGATGGGATGGTTGATAGTGGTGTTTAAGTCTTTTATTGTAAAGTTAATCATATTATATATATATCATATGTATACACATATATATCATATATATATATATGTTTTATATATATATATATAATATCTCACAAGATTTTTTATGGAAATCAAGAAGTCCCTCAAGTTGGAGAATCAGGAAAGCTGGTGATGCAGTTCAGTCTGTGTTTTAGGGGAACTGATGTTGAGACTCAGTCTGAGGCCTAAGGCCTAAGAATATGGGGAGTTGTTGGTATAAGTTCCAGAGTAGAAAGGGTTAAAAATCTGAAGTGCTAATATTGAGGGTGGAAGGAAATATTGGGAGGTGGAGAGCTAGGTTTGTAGATGTCTTTGCTTTTAGCCTTCTGGACCCTGATTCTCCATCATTCTCTGACAATTTCTTTACTTCTTGGCATAGTAAGTATTTCAGGCTCCTCTTGAATGTTCCTTTCTATAGTCATAGAACCGACTCTTTTTCCCTGGAGTCTTAGTTCTTTTTGCTGAAAATACTTTTGAGTTTCCAATCAATTTACTATGTATGGAATCTTAGGGTTATAGTATTTTGCAGTTATAAGTAATGCTACAATGAAAGCCACTGTACAGATATACTTTTGATCGTGATGTGTATTTTCAGGGTAAATTCCTGGAAATGGAATTTGTAGGTCAAAATGTAAATATGCATGTGGTTTTGTTATAGTCCCAATATAAACATAACATTTCCTACAGATTTTATACCATTTTGCATATTCATCAGAACTATATGTATCAGGTTCCACTTACTCTGGGCAGTGGTGTATATTGTCAGGCTTTTGAATTTTTGTTTATCTGATAGATAAGAAATTATATCTACTATGGTTTTAGTTTACATTTCTATAAAAGTTAGCACAGTTAAATACCTTTTCATATGTTCATGTTTAACAGTTATTTCATTTTTGAAGACTTACTTTGTTCTATGGTGCAGATAAATTTACTGTTTTTATTTTTTTGGTACTGGAAACTGAACACAGGGCCTTCACACTGAACTACATCCGTAGGCCTTTTTATTTTTTGAGACAGTATCTATCTAGGTCCCTAAGTAACCCAAGGTTGGCTTGGACGTGGGGTCCTCCTGCCTCAGCCTGGCAGAGAGCTGGGATTATAAGTGAACGACACTGTCTCGGCTCTGTTTTTCATTTTTGAGACAGGGTCTCACTAAGTTGCCCCAGCAGTGCTTGAATTTGTGATTCTCTTGCTTCAGCCTCCACAGTAGCTGGGATTACAGGTATGTACCTCTATCCCCAGCTACTTTGTTACTGGGGATCGAACTCAGGACCTTGCACTTGTGAGGCAGGTGTGGTGCCACTGAGCTAAATCCTCAGCTATGCCCAGCTACTTTGTGTATTTTGTCTAAACTTATACCTGTGCAGATACAGCTAAGTCTGTTTTGAAATAGTATAGTGATACAGTTAATCCTCAAATAACAGAATATTCAAAGGGAAATACAGGCTTACATTTTAAACACAAAGAGGATTTAATGTTAGCAATACTCCAGATATGATATGAGGATCAGAAATAATGTGAAATGCTTTTTGGTGAGTCAGATTTATTATTATTATTATTATTATTTTTTCCTGTACTGGGGATTGAACTCAGGACCTCCCACTTGCCAGGCTGCATAGAGCCACTGAGCTACATCCCTGGCCTCAGATTTATTATTTGGTAGTAACGTATTATACATATACTGTATCTTGAGCCTGTGATACTAAAGTTTCTCCCATATATACTATGCTGTGATTAAAAAAATACAGTGAATATTGCTACTGAGTGCCTGCTGCAGGGATTCTAATATAAGCAGCAGCATGTGGACTGGAGTAAGAGTGTGTGACAGCTTTCAGCTTGTTTGGTATGGTCATTTGGTTGTGATCTATGGTTGAGAAAAGTGTGCTATAAATCACGGGTTAGGAACAACACAGTAACATGAAATTTTGTCAATTTTATTGGAATTGTGAGATCATATCTCTTCAGTGTCCATCTTTTTAAGGAATGTCATCATCATGGGAGATGAAACTTGAGTCTGTGGTTATGATTCTGAGACCAAGGTTTAGAATTCTCAATGGAAATTATCTAGTTTTCCTTGTGTGAAGAAAAGTACATCAATCAAGATCCAACATCACAATAATGTTGTGATTTTTTTGATAGAGTTATGTGAGCTGAGTTTGTATCCAGTAACACTATTGTGAATTCTGAATATTGTAAGGGCTTATTAGAGCATTTAAGAAATGATGTGTGTAGAAAATGGCCTGAGAAATGGCCTGAGAAATCCTCTATCAGGGCAATACTCTGTGTCACTCATTGCTTCTGGTATAGCAGTTTGTGTCAAATAAAAACATTACAGTGTGTTCTCATCCATGTTATTCATCAGGTCTGACACTGTGTAACTCTGGCTCTTCTCCAAAGTCAAAATGACCACGAAGTGTAAACATTTTGAATTGATTTCAGGTCATTGAGGCAACCACAGCAGCACAACTAAAGACAGTTATGAGAAAAGACTTTCAGAACTGCTTCAGAAAATGGCAAAAATGATGGGATAAATGTGTTCAAAGTGAGGGGGATTAATGGCAATGTGTCTTTTATTGTAACAACAACAACGAATTAAGTATTCACTGTATTTTTTGATCATACTCTGTATTCTTAAGGCAGAATTTCTCAAGTCTGGCTGGCTGTAGAGTCAGTTCTGGAATAACACGTGTTTTTTTTTTTTTTTTTTTTTGGAGACACTGTCTCACTATGTAGTTCAGGCTGTCCTTGAACTCGCCATGTATCGCAGGCTGGCCTTGATCTTGTGGCTATCCTCCTGCCACAGCCTGAGTGCTAGGATTACAGGCGTGCACCACTATGCTCAGCCTTATAACACTTGATTTGAAAATACAAATTAGTTTCAACACAGCTGTTGTACTAGGAAACAATTTGAGTTTTTTGTAAAGATCTTATTTGTAGAACTGGAGTAAGCATGAATTGAATGCAGAAAACCATGCCTACCCAGGTGAACCAAGCTGTTTAGGAATATATTTCAGACATATACTTCAGTCCTTTACTGGCTAGCATTGTTTACTCTTTTTTTAATGAGTCACTGTCATACACATGTGGTACTGCAACTTTCTATTCAATTCCAGATAATTTTTCTACCACTTTACTGTAATTCATAAGTTATAACCATTTTAAAACCTACTTTGACGAGCAAATGTGGGGTCTTTTCAAGGTAAAGTATTGTGTTTGTTGTAATAGTTATATATTTTTAAGTCATTTAATGTGTGTGAAATTGTGCAAAGTGTTTTATTAGCTTCTTTTCCTTTTTTATGTATATTTGATTAATTTTTGAGTGTTATACTACCAACTTTAATTGGCTATAGGCCCTATGCTTTTATTATATGATTTTTCACAACCCAGTGATTATTAGGGGCACAAGTTTTGCTACAGTAGAACTTGTACATTAGAATTAGTTGGGGAGTTTTAAAATACCGATGTCTGACCCCATCAAAAACTATTAAATCAGAATCCCTGGTTATGGGATTTAATAATTGGTATTTTTGAAGTCTCCCAGTTGCTTTTTATTGCACTAGAATTGTGACTGTTTGGAGTAGGGAAACCAGGAAGCTTTGAAGAAAATATAGAAAGAGAGGCTCTTAGAAGAGTGTATCTAAGGTTTTCTTTACACTTGCAATGGTCTTTGAAAACCTCATATTTAGGGAAATTTAATGAGTTGTTTTTTGAATTTCTGTATCCCATAAGAGACTCCAGCATTCTTCTTATGTAATAGGCAAACTCAGAATAAAAACTTGCTTCAGAGAGCCATTTATTTTGAGTTATTGTGTAGTGCATAAACTATGCATTCTTCATGGAATTTAAATGCTGCATTTAAAAACATTCAGGCATGAAGAAAGAAAACAAGTAGTTTGAGAATATAGTCTGTAGCAAAATGCTGTTTATGACAACTATTATTTAGGTATTTTCCAAGCTTGAGTCATCTTGTTGATTATTTTCAGTGCTTTACTGTAATTATAGCTCTAATAGTCGTTTGTTTTTTCACTGTGTCCCACAATACATACTTTTTGGTGCAATGAACACAGAGCACTTAAATTACTACCTGTTTATAGAATACTGATTTACTTCACTATACATCTGTTTAGTTCAAAGGTAGAAAGCAAGAAAGGACATGATGTGCTTTTCTAAGTGATACATATTTCCCCTTATATGTAGCTTTTCCTTTTTGAAAAAATTGAACACAGAGTTTACTTTCTTTATATCATATATTCATTCTTGTATACGCAGTACAGTTGATCTCTTTTTGTTTGCTAAGCATAAGATAGGCATTTTAAGATTTAATTATTTTATAAAGCTGAAATGCTATTTAGTGCATATACCTGATCTACTTTTTGGAGAAGAAAATTTCTTTAAATTGAATAATTCTTTTTTATTTTCAAATAAGTGTAGCATTTATTTCTAGGAATTTTATTTTTGATTATAATATAGCAGCATTAAAATCAAATTTAAAAACTAAAAACCATTTGAAATGATAAATTTCAGGTAAGAGCAATATTTTTATGATGTAATATTAATATTCAATATACAACTCAGAATTCTGATAGGTGATCTAAAATTTTAAAATCTCAAACCAATAATTTTTATTTCTCTAGGGCATAGGAAAATGTATGTTCTTGAGGTCTCTGTCTTAAAGTGGTCGTATTTTTAATAATATAGTGTGATATTAGTATTAGTTGGATAAGATGATTTATTTCTTAATTCTTCTACTTATGGAGATTCAAGGGATGAACTGTTATTTTAGTTAGAAACCCAGTTACGGTGAGAGGACTGTTTCATGTTTATAGCTTCTAATAAAGCATGTCATATCAGGAATGATGTACTTATCTTGGCCTAGAAGGATTTCTTTACTTAGATGTACTCATGCTACAAGTAGGTGACCTAAAGGGAGCAGATAGTATTTCACTTTAACTTTTAGCCTCTAGTGTAATGATAATGTGCTGAGTGAAAGAGTGAAGATCACTATATAATTTGTACCAGTTTTAAAGGTATTTTCATCAGTTTAATTTAGATAGTTGTTCTAAAAGCTGCCTTTACATATAAGGGCCTTTTTTTTCATTTTTTGGTACCAGGGAATTGAACTTGGGACCTTGCACTTGAGAGGCAGGTGGCAGAACCACTGAGCTGATATAAGGGCCTTTTTTATTCCCTTTCTTTTGTATCTGGCAAACATCAAGTTGTAACTGGTCTAGCATATTTAAGAGATAAATTTGTGTTTGTAGCTGAGCTCTTCCATTGTTAGCTGTGTAACCTTGAACAGATTATTTAATCTCTGATATCCATTTTCCACATTAATGAGGTGAAAATACTTGCCTCATTGAAGTGATAAAAGTATTTGTAAATAAGAGAAAGCCTGTGAATCAGCAGAAGGTAGATAGTATTAGAGAGGAGGAGCAGAAAGTCATTTAGATAAGTGAGCTTAGTTTTAAGAGTGAGGTTAGAAAGAAGTAATGGAATCCATCAGCTCCACCTCTTGGTTCTGTGTTACACAGGACCTGAGTGAAGAAAACAGTATTTATTTGATAAAACTTCAGAGAAAATGGTGTGTCCCATGTGTGTAGCCTGGTTCATCTTTATCTAATACAAAAGCAGCACTTTAATTTTAATTTCCCTAGAAATTATTTGAGGGGTTTAAAAACAGATTAGATAAGGGCAAGTAGACAGAAGGGTTGGTTGGATTGGGGGATAAGAGAGAGAGGGCTTTGTTTTATAAAGAAATGTTGAAGCTAGGAGTGGTGGTGCGCTCCTGTAATCCTGGCTGCCCAGGATGCTGAGGCAGGAGGATTGCAAGTTAAGATCAGTCTGTGTAACTTAGCAAGACCCTGTCTCAAAAATAAAATAAGAATATCTGGAGGTGCACTCAACGGTTGAGCACTTACCTAGCACATGAAAGGTCCTGGATTCAATCCCCAGTACCTGAAAAAAAAAAAAAAAGTTGAGTTGAAGAAGCCAATCAAGGAGAATTTAGGGATACAGGAAGAGGAATATAACCTAACAACTTCTGTAGGCCATGAAAAAGGAATGGGATGCAGCTGGGCAAACAACTAGAACATCCCAAAGAGCAAGTGAGAAAGAGGTAAATCTCTCTCTCTTCTCTCTCCCTTGCCCTTGTCCTTGTCCTCTCCCTTACCAAAGCGTTTCACAATTAAAAATGACCCCTATATGTCCTCAAAAGTTGTTATTTATATCTTTTTATTTAAAACATATATTACAGTGTATCAAAAACAAGATTAGCAAATTAGAACTTGATGAATACAGACTGTGACTAAGAATTTGCTGCTTTTAGGTTGTAGGTTTAGAGTCTTAAGAAATTTTGATTTATGATTCCATTGGAATTTTATAGAAAACAAATAATTTTATTTATTTACATTAAAATATTAGAATAGGAAATTATTTTTATAAATATTTGAAATTGTTTCTTGTCTCTTTTTATTAGCAAGGATCCTTCCTACTGTGATGGTCTCTAGTAATTGTTTCTCAATAAAATTTTGAAGACCTATAGTGAAGAGCATTCCTCTGTCACTTTTTTCAGTGTATATAGGTTAGGAGATCTAGTGAATAACAAATGATTTATTCTCCTAGCAATCTCCGCATTCCCACTTGTCCCAAACCCATCATTATGTGTCTCTGCTATTGAGGCAATGTGTTGTGCTGGTGAGAACTAATGGTATTTATTAAGAAAAGAGAAAACTGTAGATAGAAATCCAGAGAATACCAGTATTTATGACACAGGAAGCTGCAGAAGAGCAGTTTACCAAAGATTGAGAAGGAAATTTTAGTAAGAAAAACAAAACAAAGCAAGTTGGCAATGTGAAACATAAGAAAGGAAGCCAGAAGCCAAAAAAGAAGGCAGTTTCAGGAAGAAGTGAGTCACCAGGATCAGATGCCACAGAGAGATAGGTTAAGATGAAGGTGGGAAAATGTCTGTTCTTTTGACCCTTTAGGAATTGGTGACCTTATTGAGGCATTAGAATGGTGTGTGAAGAGCATGATTTTAGTGTGTTGGAAAACAAATGAATAGTTTAAGCATGGACTCTCAAAAAGTCTTAATCCTTTTCCTAGCATATTGAATTTTGAAGCATTTATAGTTGAAGTTGGTCATGTTAAATACAAAGCACTCATAGTTTATTGCACAATTGCCAGAATCCTGCCATTTTATATTAATGTAATTATTTATATAAAGCCAAATATTTAAAGCTTTTGAAGTCTTAAAAATCACAGCTATATGGGAACCTCTAATATAAATGCAAATTTCCTTCCTTCCTTCCTTCCTCTTTTTCCACTTTGCCATGCATAACGAATACATTCATCATTTATCTTGGGGAATCGATCTGTCTATCTATTATCTATCACATTTTAATCATTTTTACTTCCCCTTTCCTTCCCCTCCTTCCTATCTCTCACCATTTCTAGATCTCCTTCCCATCTCCACAAAGTGTACTTCCTGTTTCTAATCATCTCTTTTCTTTTGCTATTTATTTAGTACCAGGGATCAAACTCAGGACCTTGTGCTTGTGAGGCAAGCATGGTACCACTGAGCTAAATCCCCTCCCCTTGCTCTTTACTTATACTTTACATTTTTATAAGCTGCATTTTCACT